CGCCACTGCCCAATTAAATGTCCCCGCTAAACTTATAATTTAGCCTAAGGCCCACACACGCAAACATGCACACATGCACACATGCACAAAGTTATTTTTCTAGGTGTGCGGGCCCCAGTCAGCTCTTCTATTATTCATATTAGCGGGAGGGTTTGTTTATCTTCGGCTATTGTGCGACGGCCCTACTCACTGAAAACACCGCTGGGAGTCATTCATGTGCACACAAACACAGAGAAGAAATACCGTTAATATTCATGCTACATACGTGCACGTGGTGGCCATCGTGGACGCACGCAAAACAGATGCAAAAATGCGACCCATTGTCCGTGCACACACACACACACACACGCTCACACACAATCCTTGCCATCTGCCTGAAAACTACACTGCAATCCCACGACGAGTGACCTGTTCACTGCAACCAATATGCATGTGTGTGTGTGTGTGCTATTTCCAGGCTATTATTGTGCATACAACCACAAGCCTGCTTGTACACCAATGTGTGTGAGTGCATATACTTATGAGAAAGCCTCTGTGTACAGCAATGTGAGCATGCATATGTTACCAGTACCAAAGAAGATGGTGTGTGTCTGTGTGTGGGTGTGCGTGTGCGTGCGTGTGAAAGACAGAGAGAGAGGTCACTCCCATATGAGGTCATATGTATGTTGAGTGTGAGCCTGCAATCATTCACTGCTGGTGTGCCAGTTGGTGTGTGTTCAAACATAGAAGAGCGTGTGTGTGTGTGTGTGTGTGTGTGTGTCCCCTGACAGCAGCAGCAGTGGCCGGCGTGATTGAAAGTGGCCGTGTTGTTTCAGTGTCACCCTGCAGATAAGATGCCGGGTCTCTGCGTGTTGACTGACACTCACGTCCCGTTCCCATCAGCCGCACACACAGCCAGGGACCGGTCCCTTGTTTAATCCGTCTTTCCTTTCCTTTCCCCGTCCCCTTATTCTCCATCCCACTCTCTCCTTTGGCCCTCGACATCCTTTGATGTCTACAAATCTACAATTTAAAAGACACTGCTTCTTTGCCCCATAGTATAGCATAATTAACAATATAATCTATAATATAATACAATTCAATTCAGTATTCATCAGGATTTATAGGGAGTATTTTGTTTGAAAAAGCAGGTCACAGTCAGATCCACGGATTATTGTGAAGATTATTCAGATATCCTTAACAACAGGAAAATACCTTCAAATTGGGCAAACTCAACAAAAACAATCTGCATGGCATGCTACCATAAGGCGTGAGTGAGAAAGGATCCTTCTTTTTTTTTGTTTGTGTGAACTGACCCTTTAAAAATGTGTTGATCCTGGACCTGTACAACAACACATGTGTACAACAACACATGTGTACGCTGTCCTTTAAATTGCAGATCAGCTGCATGGGGACGGAGATCTAACTCAGAAAACACGTCATCAAGACCACACTAATTGTGTGTCTGTCTGTGTGTGTGTGTGTGTGTGTGTGTGTGTGTGTGTGTGAGAGTGTGTGCACGTAGTGTGAGTTTCACAACGCCCTGGCGCCTGCTTTCAAAGGATTCATTAAAAGCGGTGAAAGGCTTAATCTGAGGTTTTGGGCTGATGTACTGAGCATGTCTGTGTGCGTTTGTGTGTTTGTACGCATGTGTGTGTGTGCGGGGAGGGGGGAGAGGGGGGGTTGAATGGGGAAAGAAAGGAGAAACTAAAATGGTGGGAGAGAGAGAGAGAGAGAGAGTTAGGGACTAACCAGTCGGAGAGAGAGCGGGTGGAGGAGAGTGAGACAGACAAAAGGGTTTACATGAACTCTGACCTCGCGTTATGAATGAAAAACATCAATCAGCGAGTATAACTAATCAATTTCCCCCCTCTTTCGCTCCTCTCCACGGGATACAGAAGTAAAGAATTACTTTTAATGGGATTTGAGTAATCTGATTACAAAACAGTGGCATCTGTGATGCATTAGAAAGTGCAAAAAACAAAAGGAAACTTTGGGATCTTTTGTTTCCGGAGCGCTCGCACAAAGGTGATCAGCGGCGCCACGTGTTGATGGTGTCAACGCAGACCGGCGGTGAAAACCCCGAGAGCCTTTTTCAGTATCATTCGCCACGCACCCGCGGAGGAAACAGATTACCCAGTGGACTTTAAGCAAGTTACCGGTAATCTGTAATGGGTTTAACTTTGAAATTAACCTCCGCTGCCCCCTTTGCTCCGGCTGCTCCGCCATCCGACCGCCACCGCATCACCGCGAGCACGCTCTCTGCGTTTGCCGCCACGGTCTGCTGCAGTGTGCAAATTAAATCACGTTACGCTATAAGTTAATTAAAACACGGTTTCCCTGAGGCTCGCGCGTACACTGGTGCAAACATACGTTTGCTGTAACGGAAGTCCACCGCGTGCTCACGGCGTGCACGGGGTCTCCCCCCCCCTTCCCCCACCCCTGCGGAAGGCGGGTTGGCACGCACGAGCCACTGCAGACATGTGCCTCCAAATGAGCGGCGCATCGTCAATTATCTCGCAGCCTCATTGAGCACGCGGAGGCTCTGCTGAGCGACCGCACGCGGTTCTTCACGAAGAGCGCGGACACACGAGCTATCCATAAGTTATCCGCCCCAAAATGCTCTCTGCGCTCGGCTACTCCAGCGTCTCCTCACCTGTCACCTTTCAAATGTGTTTGTGCAGCTCTATGTGTGCGTGTGTGTGTGTGACCTTGTGTTGCAGCCGCCATCGATCGGGCTGGAGCTGTCAATCGATCAGTCTGGTCTGTGTGTGAAGATAAAAGCGTTTCTATCTCTGGACACTCTGCGCACAGAAAGGAGGCGTGCAAAGTAGAATCCGTGGTCCACGCCGCCTCGAATGTTTCTGTGCGCCGGGCAAGCGTTTCATGACTGGTTTTATTTTACGGCAATGTCGTTAAATTCAAGTTTAAGATGCTGAGAGTAAAACGACTTGTTTACTGTTGCAAGTGTGCATCCGGCTCGGTGCAAGGTGAGCAGGGGGGGTATGACAAGTTTGAACCCCCCCGCTTTTAACTGGGGCGGTCCTTAAAGCAACAGAGCGTTGCTGATAGGGCATAAGTACGTTGCTGATTACCTGTTGGTCGTTTGTTTAACTTTGTCCTTTTAGTGCTCGTATTAAGCTTAGACAGGTTCCGCCACAACGGCAAAAAAAAAAAGAAGATTTAGTGACAGGTGGAGCAAATACGTCCATACGTAAGGAATTTACGTCTGATACTTAAAACTGCTGCGACGTATGAAAAGTGAGACTCTTGTGAAATAATGACAGCATAATGGCCTTAATATATACAGTGTAATAAAACACCAGCATTATGAAATGCGCTGTGCATTCATATGATAAATATCCACATAATCACACCATAAAGCAACCTGAGGCGTGTATCGCAGACTAAGGCCCCAAAGCTCACATAAAGACAAAAAAGCCCCCCAAAAAAGCTTTTAAAACCACAAGATTGTTGAATACAGCCATCAGTGTCAGTTTTATGAATCCTGTAAGAGCGGCCATATTCAATATGGCAGTTCACCATCTGTCAGTCATTGATTCGGGTATCATCAGGTATCACGTTGCATTAATTTGCCTCCCTAGTTATTGTGCCAAAATTCCTGTATCATTGGGTCCCTGGGCGCACAACCAGGGCTCGGACACACACACACACACACACACACACACACACACACACACACACACAGACACCACGCTTACTGGCCCACTGCATGCCTACTCGGGTCTAATTCAAGAGAAATACTTATCTATATTGATATGGTTGCAGAAGACATGGGCAGTGCCTCACAACACGCCGGGTGTGAGGACTGATAGCGAAACGAGCGCACCTGAAAATGGCACACAACAACAGAACACAACAACAGACCACGAGGGACTTCACAGACTTGGAGAGATCTTATATTCTCTTTGTCTCCTCCCGTCTCTCCATCTCTGTCCCAGCTTCCTGTTCCTCCTGGCTCTACTCGTTCCAACGTTTTTAGGGTTGTTGTTTTTTTGGTGGGCGGGTTGCGGGGGGGTGGAGAGGGTGTTCATACCCGCAGATGAAAAGTAAAGAATAGAGCATTCACACACCCGAGTAAATACACCTAGCAGGTACGTGGGAGGAGAGCTATGGGAATCAAACAGTCTCTCTCGCTCTTTGTCTGTGCTGCTCACTCCTGGGGTGTTTTTTTTTTTTTTTTTACAGGGCTTGTGTTTGTATTGGAAACTTGTGGGTGTATGAATGTGCATGAATGCATCCACATGAGTCTGTGTGTGTGTGTGTGTGTGTCTTGTGAGCGCTCTTGGCTCTTGCGCTGTATTTAAAAACAAGCCACAGGTTTCGGTTGAAGCGACCTCTCCTTGCAGATTGCTCCGTCCGATACGAGTCCTTGGCTCTGGCCCTCCCCGATGACCTCACCGGGTCTTCACGCGGCCATAACTCCAAACAAACCCTCTGAGGAAACCAAAAACAAACTGCGCTTCTCCATTTGCGGTCACTGCGCGGCTGGCAGTAACAATAAACAGGCCCGAGGCCGGCACAGCGTCAGAGCAGGACGAAGCAATGACAGACACACACACACACACACGCTGAGGAACAAATCTAACCATACTTCACTAAACACAAAATCCCACACAAGTTGCATCGAAGGACACGTCCAAGGACAGGCTGCAAAAGATGAAAAGAACAGAAAAAAAAGAAAAGAAAATCCTTCTAAGTGTAAAAACAAACTTTTGATACACTGAAATGAAGAAAAACTGATTCATATGGTCATTTTCTTTGCAGTCCAAGTCCCGTATTGTCTCCAGCCGTGGGCTGGATCACACATAATTCTCCAGCCTAATTACTCTAAACACACCCGCCCCAATCATCACCATCATCATCATCACTGGAATAAACAAACACATTCAGACACAATCAGAAATCAGCCATGCAATCATAACAACCTCCCAGGCGTAAGCACACACACACACACACACTCCAAACCATGATCTCCGGCCCCGCTTCCCCCGACTCACCGATGATGTAGTAGTCGTGCATGCTCTTGAACTCGTGGCCCCAGAGGTTGGGCGAGAACTCCTGGAACTTGATGGTGAAGCGGCGCTCGCGGGTCGGCTCGTCGCAGGTCAGCACGATGTTGGGCGCGCCGTTCACCTCGCAGCGGTCCGCCTGCTCCCGCAATGACACCAGGTAGAGTTTGTAGAACTCGTACTCAGGCGTGGACCGGGCCGTGTCCACTGGCGGGCAGATGAGGTCCAGCCGGTCCCCGATCTGAGGGTAGAGGACGTAGCCCTTATCGTCCCTGAACCTGGATGGGGGAGAAGAAGAGAAAGATTCGTTATAGTCTTAAACCGGCTTAAATGAGCAACAGATGGGTTCTCTAACGCTTTTATTTCCTCTACTTCCTCTCGCTCACAGAACAGGTGCCTTTACAGAGGAACCGTAGTCCAATTAACTTCACAAATACCCTTTTACCACCAATCACACGCAATCCCCGGTTGACCCCGTGAAGTGGATCAGAAAAACAGAGGAAATATAACCACCAGCTGACGACCCTCATGGGGGAAATAAGCCCCCCCGTCCAAAGCCAGAGAGAACTCCGTTATTAGAAAAGAATTCACTTATGCTTTTTCTTCCTGCTCACCACAACTGCCCTGGAGAAATTACCCATAGTTAAGTATGGGTTTGGGCTAAGATGTGGACTTTAATCACGCAAAAACTACATTAAATTCGAAAGAAGTATGCAGAAGCAAAAAATATTCCCCTCCAAGTAGAAGCCTTGAGCCCAGATTGAATTCAAAACTCAAAAAAGTTGCAGTAAAGTCAACAAAATGTCCTGCCACGAACACACTTGTGTGAGTGTTTGCATAGGAAATGAAAGTGACACGACGTAAACAACAAACACTTTCTGGCAGAACTCATCTTCGTGTTACTCAGCGCTCGCGTTTGGAAGTGAGAAGTGAAGCATGTCCATCGAGGAAGACGCTGGCAGACGAGTGTTGCCGTGGAACTGTGCTGCCAAATCTCAGGTATATCAGTTAATTAGTTTGCTAATTAGCTTTTTTGATGTCTGTCATCGCCGTCTGATATGAATGATTTGCAGTCTGTTTGTTTATGGCCTAACTGATGGTTTGACACCTGCTATCGGTGGGGAAACCAGCAGCCTGAACCGAGCACAACGCGACAAAAATATGCCTTGAAATGGTTTTGTCAGCATCCTCAACACGAGAATTTCCACTTTGGCTTTCGGTTGTTTAGTCAACAACTTCGGCCCTTCTCGTGTAAACGCCGCAGCGGATTTTGGAGGAATATATTTCACATGGACACGATAAATTAATTCTGCATATCTGCCAATTGGTCAAAACCAAGCTTGTTTATTTATTTTTTTGGTGGCCGAGGGGCCCGAGGGGCTTGCACAGCTTTCATTAGGTGGAGCACATGAAACGCAGCAGTCAGAAGGGCGTAAACTTAACAAATGACTCAGAGTCCGTCATTCCCCTCACAGCGCTGATAAGGCCAAATACCGTGAGTTATCAACTTGGCCCCTGAGGCCTATAATGACTTCAATGCTCAACACAGGCATGCGTGCATTGGCAAGTGGGGGGGGTGTGGAGGGGGGGAGGATCAGAGAGGAGTCCACGCCATCATGACTTTATCTCAGGTAGAGATAGATGTCACCCCCGGCAGAAAGAAGGCACATGTTTACAGAGGTAAAAGATGAAAAGCAGGAGATTCAAGGTTTTTTTTTTCCGTCACAGAGAATGTTAAGTGACACTTTGATGTTGAAGTGGGAGGAAGCAAATGCCTGTAATGTTAAAAAAAAGCCCATTTTCTGTTCTGTTTCCAACAAATCCTCACTGACACTTGGGAGTCACTGCACACACACCGGGCTCAGCTATTCTCTCTGTTCTGCTCTCTGACAACTGTTTGACCGTTAAAAAATAAACAGCACAGCATCACAAGGCACGAACGCAACGAGACTTATGTTGCTCAACTGAACCGTTAAACACACTAAATACTACAGACGTTACATTTTTCTTTCTGGTTTTGACTTGAAAGCTGACAAAAAGTCAGACCAATTAGATATAAGGTATAAAGTGGATTTTTAATATTGTGCGTTCAACTGGGAAAACATCAACTTTCTTTGCATGTGTCTCATTAACTACATCAACTTGTGCAAATTAAGGGAGCACTCCAGAAATGTAATAACATTCTGAGGTGTATTGACTTCCCTGATAGGGGACACGCTCAGGATCGCACACACAACGCTGTACCACCGGATCCCACGTTACCACAGTGCAACTTAACTGCCTTTTTGTCAGACTCTCAGTCCCTGCTAAAGCTGTAAAACTTTCAAACAGGCTTCCCATAAAACGCTGAAGTCCCCAAGCTCAAACTCTGATTGCTGATTGCTAAAGTTGGGTTATTTCCTCCAACTTCCTCCAGTTTTCCTTCAGAGCCAAAAAAAGCAAAGTGTCAAATCAGGGTAATACCACTTTTTTAAAGTGCTGCCCGAACTTTTCCCAAACTGCCATGAAAGACACAACACTCCCGCGATAGTGCGATTAACCGCGTTAACCCGACCTCCGTTAAGAGGAGACTTTGGGGTTTTATGAATCTCATTTGTTGTACCTGCATCTTTCTGAACCACATCCTCGCTTTTCGTGCAGTCCACCTCTGAGCACAGCCAGTTTAAAGGCTCAAACCGGCTGTAAATTGAGATGTAAAGCTTTATCTGCTTGCTTACGCCTCCAGCTTATACTCCGGAGGGGAACTTTGGAAAACAGACCTGCTGGGAAGCCACCGTTCAGCCACTTGTCATTACCCAGGTCACTGGGGGTTATCAGGCAATACTTAGAATGGAGAGGAAGCCACTCAGCTTCACTCAACACATGCACACATATTTCACCTTCCTGACGGCTTCAGACAGGCGAGCTCGCACCATTTATAGAGTATGAACTGTAAACATGGTGGAGGTTCCTGAGGCGTCTGCAGCGAAGCCTAAACAGAACTATCTATTGAACACACACACACACAGACCCGTACAAATGCCCTTCTGCTAAACACAAAAGGTTTGCCCAAACACATCCACCCACATCCAAACACACAGGTTGGGTTTTTCCTAAACATGAACGCTTAAATCCACTGACGATCACACACACACGAACATTCTTATAAAAACAGGCACCTTTTGCTTCCTGCATGACGCATTCGCTGAGTGTATCTGATGGTGTCCTGAGTCACAGCCGAGCTGCACTGCAGAATGGCAAAGCAAACACACACACAGTGCAGGGGATGGAATGAGTGTTGAGCTAAAATGCCACCGGGCAGGTGCAGTGCTTGAAAAGGAAAGAAAGAAAGCGGGAGGAATCCGTGAAGTGAGAGGGGGGGGAAGTGGGAAAAGAATATTGAACAAGTCAGGAAAGGTATCTAGCAACCACAAAGAACTAGAGGTTCCAATTTTGATTCCTAAACCACAGAGTATCCAATGCTTTCATACAGCTTATGATTCCATCTTTAGTATCTACTTTATATTGTTGTGTAAACACAACCTTCAAATAACTGTATTGAGATTCTCCCCAAAATGTCTTATTTTTACAACATTTGTGAACATTTGAACAAATGATGCTATAGGAATAATTTACCTTTACTGAATACTCATTGCTTGAACACAATGTTTGTGTAACTCGTTACAACCTCCCTTAATTAACGTAACAGGACTGTGCAGCTAACCGCTAACACCGACGTTCACAATGTACTTTATGTACGGAGCATTGTGTTCAACTACAGGTGTGAAGTACCAGTTTGCACTGGTATATATATCAGTTCAGCGGATAGATTTGCTTACTGGCCAAGTTCTTTTTGATACTGGTACCAATATCCACACTACAAAGGAACGTGATGAACAAGCAGAAAGGAAACACAAGAAATGAGAAGGTTGGAGAAAGACTGGAAGAGGGAAACTGCATTCCAGCACATTCCTGCGACAGAACACAATTTTCTGATAGGCTCCATGTTCAGAGTGTCAGATTTGCTGAGTTAACCCAGGTTAACCTTGTGTGTGACTGAATTATAGTGTGTGTGTGTGCGCACCGTTAACAGGATGGGGTAGGGACACCTTCTCCCAATCTAATCATGTGGTAAAGCGTGAAAAACTGCGCCCTGCGAGTGCGGCGATATGCAATCAGTGGCGCGCGGTTTGGGATGAATTAAACGCACCTTAAAAGTGCGGCGTGAAAGCACAGGACGGTTTGTGAGGCCGGTGAATCGCACAGACGGTCACGCAACGGTGTTCCCAGTGCCGGGGAGAGGAAGGGAAAGTGGGGTGAGCAGCTTTATGGGGTTCAACTGTGACGTCTGACAACGTCTCAATAAATCCTCCTGTTCAGACGCCCTCCCCCCTCTCCCTCCCTCCCTCCCTCCCCCCTTATATACGTTTTCCCTTCTCTCGTTTCCTTTTTTTATACCACATTTCGCTGTGAGAGAGACACTCTCCCCCTGTCTTTGAGCGTCTACTTTCTTTCCTCTGCTACTCTCCCTCATCTCTTTTTGGCTGTCCGCACTCTCCCTCCCTCCACCCTCCCTCACCTCCCCCCTCTGCTCAGCCGTTAACAAAAGAGCCATTGATGTGGCCACACTTTGAAACATGGCGTGGGGGATTGGAAGGGGCCAGAGGTGACACTGAGGAGGGAACAGGAGAGAGAGGGGAAGGAGGAGGGTGAGAGAGGTGTGTGTGGAGGGAGGGGGGATGAGGGAAGGGGGGGGGGGGGGGGGGGGTCTCTCTTTCTTGTGGGCACCTTCTTTATAGAGAGAAGAAAAACATTTTTTAAAAACAAGGGCCACCCCCGCGCGACCCCCAAGGGGGAGGGGAGAAAACTCAAGGGGTGCGCGCGCGCGGAGCCCCCCCCCGAACTCTTTGACCTATAGGGCGCTCTCCTCTCTACCGCGTCGCCAGAACGACGAGCGCGTTTTATTAGCGGTCGCCGCCTATTAGCGACAAAGCTGTGTGAAAGACATTGCGTCACAAGAGCTCAAGGCAAAGGGCGGGGAATTTTACAAATCCATCAAGTGGTGGCCTGTAAGCGCCGTGTTTGTTTCTCTCGTCTTTCTTCTTGTCCGTCTGCGTTCTACCTGCTCCGGGCGGCGTATCGGACAGCGCAAACATTTCCCAGATTCCACAGCGGCAACCCGAGCCATGTCCGGACCAAAGCCGGGCCCACAGGTGCAGCCAGCAAGAGGAGACAAGGGAGGGTGTGTGTACTTGTGTGTGTTTGTGTGTGTGTGTCTGTGTGTGTATGCCAGCGTGTG